AAAAAAAAAAAAAAAAGTAAAATAGGCCAGGCACAACCAACCATGGTGGTTCATGGTTGTAAGCCAAGCACTTTGGGAGGCTGAGGAGGGTGGATCACCTGAGCTCAGGAGTTCAAGACCAGCCTGGGCAACATGGTGAAACCCCATCTCCACCAAAAAAAAAAAATACAAAAAATTAGCCAGGCATGGTGGTGTGTGCCCGTGATCCCAGCTATTCAGGAGGCTGAGGTGGAAGAGTGCTTGTGCCTGGGAGGCAGAGGTTCCAGTGAAATGAGATCGCACCACTGTACTCCAGCCTGGGCAACAGAGTAAGACCCCGTCTCAAAAAAAAAAAAAAGTAAACCCTTTGGCAGCTGCGTGCTGCTCTTAGGCTCAAACCTAAGTCTTTTTTTTCCCCCTTTTGAGATGGGGTCTGTTGCCCAGGCTGGAGTGCAATGGCATGATCCGTACTCACTGCAGCCTCGAACTCCCAGGCTTCCAAAGTGCTGGGATTACAGGTGTGAGCCACCAGGCCCAGATTGCTGAAGGATTTAAACCAGAGAAAGGGTGTGACCAGATTTCCAATTCAGAAAGACCCACTCTCTGCAGGGTAAGGTGTAGCCTGAGGTAGGGGGCAAGAATCGCAAGGTAATCAGAGAGGCCAGTGCAATGTCCAGGTGGGAGAGGTTGCTAGCTGAGACGAGAAGTGCTAGGAGAAAGATGTGTGCAGACAAGAGGTCACTGGGGAGGTGAAATATCCCAGCACCCATGGTGCCCCTCTTGAGAGGGGGAAGATATCACCTGAGATGGAAGATGGAAAGACCAGGGTCCCTGTGGCTGAGGACTGAGCCTGTGTTTGAGGTTTCACAGAGGAGTGAAGGCAACAAAAGAGGCAAGAGTTGGAAGAAAGGTGACAAGGAACAAAAGTCAGCCATGCCTGATGCTACTGGGTGGCCAGCAACAATGCAGACTTGGCCAAGGCTCTGAGAGCTTTATTATGCTGGGACTGGAGGTCAGAGTTGAGGCTAGGGTAAGAGCAGGGGGCTCAGATGGAGGGGGAGGAGGACCTGAACAATGTCCAGAAGGGAAGAGATTTGAATCTCTATCCAACAGAGGACCCTGTGAGCAGCACAGAGGGCACAGCAAGGGACATCCCCCGGTTCTCCAAATGCTCAGAGCCACAAGTGAAGCCGAAAGTGAAAGACAAGATGCAGAAAACCGCCACGGGCCTTTGAAGGGTAAAGGCGAAAGCGAAAGCAGGAAGGACAGACCTCGAGCCTAGCAGAGGACTTTTTAGTTCCTCACTGGCCCCACTTGTCTGACCCACTCATCCACCCGCGACCCCTAATCCGCTCTGCCTGCCCCAAGATGCTGAAGCCAGCCTTGGAGCCCCGAGGGGGCTTCTCCTTCGAGAACTGCCAAAGGTGAAGTGGGGGCTGGGGAGGGGACGATCACTCCTGAGTCACCTCTGCTTGGTCGTGGCCTTTTTTCCTGGCTGGGGGTGGGGGAGGGTGTGTTGGGCGACTTGGGTTCCAGGCTTACCCCGGAAGATGAGGGAGACGGGGACCAGGTTAGGGGAAGCAACAGGGGTACTGGAAGCAGAGCCGAAACCTGGGCGCTCTCCTCCGTTTCCAGAAATGCATCCTTGGAACGTGTCCTCCCGGGGCTCAAGGTCCCTCATGCACGCAAGACCGGGACAACCATCGCGGGCCTTGTGTTCCAAGTGAGCAGCGGGGAAGGACAGGGGAGCTGGAGGGGAGCCGGGAGTATCGAGCAGGCACTGAGGCTGCGGTCCCTCCCTCTCCTCAGGACGGAGTCATTCTGGGCGCCGACACGCGAGCCACTAACGATTCGGTCGTGGCGGACAAGAGCTGTGAGAAGATCCACTTCATCGCCCCCAAAATCTAGTGAGACTCACCAGCCCAGTTCCCTCACGCAAAAGAGAACGGCCCCCTCGTTCCCACTCCGGTCCCGGCACGTGCCAGCCCTGCCCACACCGATCCTCCCTTTTCCCTCAGCTGCTGTGGGGCTGGAGTAGCCGCTGACGCCGAGATGACCACAAGGATGGTGGCGTCCAAGATGGAGCTACACGCGCTATCCACGGGCCGAGAGCCCCGCGTGGCCACGGTCACTCGCGTCCTGTGCCAGACGCTCTTCCGGTGCGGGGGCGGGGCTAACAGGATCCCCGGAGGGGTCGTTGCCGGCACGGGGCCGATGGAAGGCGGGACAGAAAGGGCGGCGGGGCCGCGACGGGCCAGGTGACCGGAAGAGGCCAGCCCAAGAGAAGCTGGGCTATCGGAAAAGGCTATGTCAGTCATCGGGCGCCACATCACAGGAAGGGGCGGGGATAGTACCTAAAGGCGGAGGCATAGAGGGGCGGGGCCTAGGCCCCCGCTTGTGACCGACCCCCCCCCATCCTCGAGCAGGTACCGGGGCCACGTGGGTGCATCGCTGATCGTGGGCGGCGTAGACCTGACCGGACCGCAGCTCTACAGCGTGCATCCCCATGGCTCCTACAGCCGTCTGCCCTTCACAGCCCTGGGTGAGCACTTCTGTCCCTTCTCCTCGAACCCTGCCCCTGTGACCTTGGCCTCACGGTGGTACTCCAAACTGGGTGGCAGCGGTTGACTTCAGATGGTTCTCCTGCCTTCAGGCTCTGGCCAGGGCGAGGCCCTGGCGGTACTAGAAGACCGGTTCCAGCCGAACATGACGGTGAGCGGCCTCTGTCCCCGACTATGTGGTCGCTGGTGGGATGTGCACTCGGGAGCTGGGGGAGCACAGGACCCTAGCCCGGTGTGGAGGTGGGGGAAGGCTTGGAGGTGGTGACCACTGAAGGGTGAGTGGAGTAAGGGCAGAGAAGTGCGGTCCTGGCACAACACCGTCCAATACCAAAGCCTGGACGGTTGGGAGAAGTCGAAGCTCACAGAGGATCTTTTGGAGCCGGGGGCGGAGGGAAGGACCAGTAGGGTCACACTTATATCAACGTCTGGAGCCTACATTTTGTTTGGGGTGGGATGGAAGCAGGTGATATTGCCTCAGAGGTGGCTAAGGCTCAGAGGGAGAAACACAGTGGGGGTTTGGGGTGCAAGACCAGATTGGGTGAGTGGACAGGCAAGTCCCCAGGCTGTAGCCTAAGTTAACAGCAGAGGGCCCGTCAGGCCTCACACACTCATCACTGCAGCTAGAGGCCGCTCAGGGGCTGCTGGTGGAAGCCATCACCGCCGGAATCTTGGGTGACCTGGGCTCCGGGGGCAATGTGGACGCATGTGTGATCACGAAGACTGGCGCCAAGCTGCTGCGGACACTGAGCTCACCCACAGAGCCCATGAAGAGGTGAGTGCTGGAGACGGGGTACCACAGGGATGTGTGGGGCTGCAGCAGGGGAGATGGAGGGCTGCAAGAAGGGGATGGGCCACATGACAGGCCCATGTTCAGAGGCCGTCCCTCCTCTCTCCCAGGTCTGGCCGCTACCACTTTGTGCCTGGAACCACAGCTGTCCTGACCCAAACCGTGAAGCCACTAACCCTGGAGCTAGTGGAGGAAACTGTGCAGGCTATGGAGGTGGAGTAAAATAGGTTGAGGCTTAGAGCTTGGAACAAGGGGGAATAAACCCAGAAAATACAGTTAAACAGATGGCTGTGTCATTCTTGAGTGGAGTAGGGTGGGCAGGCAGCCAGCAGGGCTCTGTAGCTAAGGCGTCCCTGCAGGGACCATTACTTCCCATAGCTCTAGTGTCTGGCCTAAGAGATGCTCTTCACCCATCACCTCAGGCACCTACAGCTCCAGAACCCCAGCCCTGGCCAGCATTGCAGGCTTGATCTCCATCCAAACCTTCCTTCTGACTCCACACTTTGGAGGCTCCCCCATCACTCCACTGCCTTGCTCTTGCCCTCTAGTCCACTGGAGACTTGTAAAACACAAAAGACCCCATGACCCCTCCTAGGGACTTTCCATGGCTCCTCAGTGGCCCAGGACAAAGCTCATACCTTTCAGTAAGGCCTCACTGAGGGCTAAAGTGCTGACAAGAGGAGCCACTCCCTGACTCCAAGGCAAGTTCTCACCAAGCACTTCTCAACCTCACAACATCTTTACCGGTGACACCCCTCAGATGGCGAGGCATGCCTGCACTGCTCACCTGAAGCTTGGCTTCTGTCTGCACATGCTGGGCTTGTGACTCCAAGTTTTCCGGGTCAAGAAGGCTCACAGGACTCACATGGGGAGAGAGGACACATTTCTCCAACAAATCTTTGCTGGGCCCCTGCTGAGTCTCAGGCCTGGCTGCTGGGTGCCAGCAAGAGCATCCTGCCCTTAGTGAGAACAAACAGATGAACTCCACTGCAGCTTCAGAACTGTCAGGGAGAGTCGGCCCAGGCTCCAGGGAGGGTCTATGCCAGGCTGGACATCCCTGGGCCGCTGACTGCTCCCTGAGCCCCAACATTCTATTATGAATATTTGTAAATGTAACAGAAAAGTAGAGTTGTATATTGAATACCCATACACTGTCAGGTCACCACAGACCTGATAGTATTTTGTTATATTTGCTTTATCATCTATCCGTCTCTCTATCCATTAATTCATCTTTTTTTTTCTTAGAGTTTTGCTCTGTCACCGAGGCTGGAGTGCAGTGGCGTGATCTCGGCTCACTGCAAGCTCTGCCTTCCGGGTTCACGCCATTCTCCTGCCTCAGCCTCCTGAGTAGCTGGGACTATAGGCGCCCGCCACCACGCCCAGCTATTTTTTGTATTTTTAGTAAAGACAGGGTTTCACTGTGTCAGCCAGGATGGTCTCAATCTCCTGACCTCATGATCCGCCCGTCTCGGCCTCCCAAAGTGCTGGGATTACAGGCGTGAGCCACTGTGCCTGGCCAATTCATCTCATTTTTTAAATGATGCGGTTTCTTTTTTTGAGACGGGGTCTAGCTCCATCGCCCAGGCTAGAATGTAGTGGTGCACTCATGGCTCACTGCAGCCTTGAAAAGGGCTCAAGTGATCCCTCCTGCCTCAGCCTTCTCAGTTGCTGGGACTACAGGTGTGTACCACCATGCCCAGATCATTTTTTAATTAAAAAACTTTTTTTTTGTAGAGACAGGGTTTCATCACGTTGCCCAGGCTGGTCTCGAACTCCTGCAATCAAGCCTCCCACCTCTGCCTCCCAAAGTTTTGGCATTACAGGCGTAAGCCACCACACCCAGCCCTGATCTGTTCTTGAATCAGTTAAAGCCCTCACACTCCCAGAAGCAGGCCAGCCAATGCACCTGTTGGAATTCTACACACAGGGTGTCTTCTCCCTTCAAGCTTGGCCTGCATCTCAGTAACAAATGGGCTGTAGACACCAGGGGCTTGCCCATGGGAGCCCCAAGGCCTAGAGAGGGTGGCAGAGTTTTGATGGCTGTCACTCTCCACCTCCAACTGCAGCCTCAGTTCAGGGTCTGCCAGGCACCAAGAGCTCACACTTTGCCCTCCTAACTGCCAGGCACTTCACAAGCATCATCTCATTGTTAAGAGTGGGGGCTTCTTGGCCGAGCTCAGTGGCTCACGCCTGTAATCCCAGCACTCTGGGAGGCCGAGGTGGGCGGATCACAAAGTCAGGAGATCCAGACCATCCTGGCTAACACAGTGAAATCCCATCTCCACTAAAAATACAAAAGATTAGCCGGGCATGGTGGCGGGCGCCTGTAGTCCCAGCTACACGGGAGGCTGAGGCAGGAGAATGGTGTGAACCCGGGAGGCGGAGCTTGCAGTGAGCCAAGATTGAGCCACTGCACTCCAGCCTAAAAAAAAAAAAAAAAGACTGGGGGCTTCAGTGCCAGACAAATGCAGGTTTGTGTCCAACTCAACCACGTGCTGGTGGGAGAGTCACCATCTCTGAGCAGACCTGTGACTCCTGTTCCAAATGGATGAGGAACCACTGAGATGATGTGTTAGGACTCCCAACCTGCCAGAACCTCACGGCCCCTGACCCTTCACAGCAAAGTCGACCACAGTGAGCATTCCCTCCACCAGTCAGAACACCCTGGATGCTGAGTGGCCTTCTCTGAGAGCCTGGTGCCTTTGATAGCCCTGGGAGACTCCTCTGATCCCAGCCACCAGGTTGTCACTATAGACCTAATTTAACCATCTGCCCTCGGTACCCAGGGCTCAACATTTGGAATGGGAGGTGGTTCTGGGAGCCAATTAGAGGCCAGGCTTTGGGAGGTGGCAGAGGTGAGAGCCTCACACCTGGGCTCTGTCCGATAAGTATAGGCCTGGGTCAGGGGACCTTGCCTAAAGGGCCTCTCTTGACTGGAGCGTGGGAGGTGGCTAAGTCTACACAGCTGGCCTGGCCTCAGGCCTGGAGCTTTAGCTCAAGGACGAGAAGACCCATAAAGCCAGGCCCAGCTCCCAACCTCACATCTGCCACGATGCTGCTGCTCAGCCTGACCCTAAGCCTGGTTCTCCTCGGTTCCTCCTGGGGTGAGTGGGCCAGGACCAGCCCTGATTCAGACCTGGGAACAACTCAGCTCCCAGCACTAGCCCAGGGAAGGGGCCAGGCTGGCTGGAAGGGACAAAGGTGGACAGAGTGGGCAAAGGAAACAGGATATGCCAGGGCAGGGGAGCAGGACCAGGCCTGCAGGGCTGGGAGGGGGCAAGAGGTGGGGTGGGGGAGTCTCACGAATAGGACCAGAGCTTGAGCAAGGCCCTGGAGCCCGGGAGTGTTTAGGAAGCTGAGACAGGAAGAGCTGCCCATGACTTTTAGAAATAACCTTCTGGCTGCATGAAGGGTATGTACTGTTCAGGCCTGGAGCGGGCAGAGAGACCAGGGGTAGAGATGGGGAACAGCAGGGACTAGGCTGGAGAAAGATGTGAGAGAACAGAAGCACTGGGGGACTGGTTGGATGAGGATAACCAAGATAGCTGTGGGGCCCGAAGGTGCCTGCATGTACCCTGTTGGGAAAGGGGTAGTGTTGTACCCTCTTGACTGACCTATCTGGGGTGCACAGCCTCGGGCACCCAGAAGGAGGTGGGGAAAGGTGGGCTGAGGCATAGGAAGCAGGTCCTCATTAGCCCAATGGCCAGGCTGCGGTGTTCCTGCCATCAAACCAGCCCTGAGCTTCAGCCAGAGGATTGTCAACGGGGAGAATGCAGTACCAGGCTCCTGGCCCTGGCAGGTGTCCCTGCAGGTATACCACTGGAGGGATGGGCAGGGTCCTGGGTACGTCACGCCTAGGGGCAGCCTAAGCAGCCCAACCCCACTCTGACCTCTCAGCCCTGACCCCAGGACAGCAGCGGCTTCCACTTTTGCGGTGGTTCTCTCATCAGCCAGTCTTGGGTGGTCACTGCTGCCCACTGCAATGTCAGGTGAGCACCTGCACTCCACCTGCCCCGCCCCTCGCCTCTTCCTGCCTCCTCCCCTGGCTGTCCCCCTCTCGCTCTGGCCTCCCTGCAGCTGCCTAACCCCACCCCTCTACAGCCCTGGCCGCCACTTTGTTGTCCTGGGCGAGCATGACCTAACGTCGAACGCTGAGCCCTTGCAGGTTCTGTCCATCTCTCAGGTGAGTGCCTGGGTTGCAGACATGGAGGAAAAGTGGGCAGTGCAAGTGGATGGGTGCTGGGAACGGGGAATTCAGGACACGCCCTGGCCTACCCTGCTCAGCACCCATCAGCCCCAGGTGCCGGGGCCCACCCCAGCCCAACATGGACTGTTTCTGACCCCACAGGCCATTACACACCCTAGCTGGAACCCTACCACCATGAACAATGACGTGACACTGCTGAAGCTCGCCTCACCAGCCCAGTACACAACACGCATCTCGCCAGTTTGCCTGGCATCCTCAAACGAGGCTCTGACTGAAGGCCTCACATGTGTCACCACCGGCTGGGGTCGCCTCAGTGGCGTGGGTAGGAACTCAGGCCAAAGCTCAGGGTGGGAGGACTGGGGTGGGGACCAGTGTTCTGGGCCCCACCTGACTACCCCTCCTGGCCCACAGGCAATGTGACACCAGCACGTCTGCAGCAGGTGGCTTTGCCCCTGGTCACTGTGAATCAGTGCCGGCAGTACTGGGGCTCAGATATCACTGACTCCATGATCTGTGCAGGTGGCGCAGGTGCTTCCTCATGCCAGGTGAGCCCCAGCACCCGGTCCTCTGCGCTGTCCTGTGGCACACCTCCCCAATCCCCCACACTCACTTCTCCCTCCCTCTTCCCTCTCAGGGTGACTCCGGAGGCCCTCTTGTCTGCCAGAAGGGAAACACGTGGGTGCTTATTGGTATTGTCTCCTGGGGTACCAAAAACTGCAATGTGCGCGCACCTGCCGTGTATACTCGAGTTAGCAAGTTCAGCGCCTGGATCAACCAGGTCATTGCCTACAACTGAGCCCACCACAGGCCCTTCCCCAGCTCAACCCATTAAAGACCCAGGCCCTGTCCCATCATGCATTCGTGTCTGTCTTCCTGGCTCAGGAGAAAGCAGAGGCTGTTGAGGGTTCGACTCCCTACTTGGACTTCTGGCATGGACGGGGCTGAGTGGCTCCTTGAGTAGCAGTGGCTCTTCCTACAGTAGTCATGCCCAGGCCAGGGACCCCACCCCTCCTCCAGGGCAACCCCTTGGTCCTACAGCAAGAAGCCAGAGCTGTTGGAATGAATGGCAGCCCTCCCTGGAGAGGCAGCCTGTTTACTGAATACAGAGGATACATTTACAAACTGAATACGCATAATAAATAACTGCACATTCTCCATCCACGGTCCATGGCATGAAGGCCCAAGTGGGTCTATCAAAGGCCCACATCTCCAAACCCCGTCCCGCCCTCAGGACCAGGCCCACCCTGGGCGAGAGAGAACATAATCCCCAGAGCTTCAGGTCCTCAGAGACAGTTAGGGAACTGGGAGGAAATCCTGAGGCCATGGGGCTTGGTTCTCCACTGCCTCCTGCCCAGGGGGCAGTGAGGACGGCAGGAGGGTGTGTCTAAGGCACAGTTGACTTGGCACAGAGTGGTCTCTTTAGTTTTGTTTCCCACTGTAGGTGGCACATGCAGGAAGAGGAGGGCCTGGCCCAGGCTGCCAACTGGCAGAAGCTGAGTGGGAGCCAAACCCTCCCCCAATGCCAGGGGCCCTGCAGTTGACCTAAGGCCAAAGCTGGGCCCTGGCCCCATTCTACCCACTGAAGGCAGCTGTGGAGGGAGGGGGTTGGGTTCCAGCCTGGTTTGTGGTGGGGGAGATACCACAACAGAAATGGGGACGGTTCTGCCTCAGGCCTCTGGGAAAGCAGCCACCCAACCCCACCCACCTCCCACAGGGGCTCCTTCCAGCTTTCGACTCAGCGGGACCCAGACTGGAAGGTTAATGCTGTGAAGGGAAGCAGCACAGGGTGGATGGGGCAAGGCCAGGTGTCAGAAGGCAGTGCCCCAGGCACCCAGGGTTCAGAGGCAGGTCACACAGTATGGCTAAGTTCCAGGGAGGGGTGCGCAGAAGCTCAGCAGAAGGGGAGAGGTGAGCAGCCTGGGACCCTCCCCCAGGGCAGCAACTCCTACCTTCCCATGTCTTCGTGGAGGACTACGGGTGTGCACGATGAGCGGGTGTGCACGATGGGTGTGCAGTGATCACTCCCAGGTTGCCAACACCCATGCAGACACCAGATGGCGTCTTTGTGCAGCTGCAGAGGAGGGAGCGACAGACCCTGAAGGGAAAGGGCAATGGGCTGCACCAAAGGATAGAACCCAGGCTGACACTGGACCCTAATGGGGAGGGGCCCCCTGCCCTCTGCCTTGGCCCCCAGGTGCCCTATCCCCCAGGTAGCAGCAGTGGGGCTCCCTTTAACCCCTCCCAGTTGGGAAGGAGGCACCTGGGGAATGGAATGAACATCCAATGGGGAGAGGGAGGTAGCAGTAGACTCTACAAAGAAGGCACCAAGGGCAGTGGGCTGGTGGGCAGAGACCCCTCAGAGTCTGAAGAGGTTGAAGCCTGGGCAAGCCGACGACCAGCATGGCCACAGAGTCCAGAAGGGTGAAAGTCCACGCCATGGCCCTATCACCAGAGGTCCTGGGACCAGGAAGGCTCCCTCGGGGCACCATGAAGGAAGACAGATCTTGATTGCGAGGTGGAGGGTTGTTTGGATCTAGCTAGGGGCTACGGTTTCAGTCAAGGCACAAGCTTTGTGCCTACCAGGGTCTCCCACTGGAGCACAATCTGAAGGATCAGGATGCATGGGAATGTGTGGAGCCAGGGAGAGGGGCTCTGTGGAGGAAAGGGGGTCCCAGAAGTAACTGTCCCAAAGGGTCCTGAGGCCACAGGACACTTCACCCAGCACTGCAGGCCCCTTTGATTTGGGAAGAGTCAAAGGGCAAGGGAGACAGTGAAGGCCAGGTCCTATCCCTTCCCAGCTCCACCAGAGCAGCTGCCCACCAAGAGGGGTATCAGTGCCAAGCCAGGCTCTCAGTTCAGGGGGAGTCACAGCCCCCTGGGCTACCTCCACTCTGTCACACCTGGCCCAGGTCCATAGTGAGGACAGGGGCTGCTGAGGGCACAGAGAAAGGGCCGGAGCCAGACATTCTTCACCTACTGCGGGCTACATGAGCCTATCTCCAGAGAGGGCATCAGGCACAGATGGCACCGCAGTGTGTGGCCAGGCTGGGCCATGCTGCATGTATGCAGAGCCAGGCGGCTCAGCCATTGTACTGCTGTTGGTAGCGCAGGTTGAGCTCCCGCAGCTCCCGCTCCCGCACACGGCGTGACTTGTTGGAGCGTGTGGAGCGGCTGGAACGCGTGGACTGGGCAGATTTGGTGCTCTGGCAGCGTGAGGAGGCACGTTTGAGGAGGTTCTGGGATATGGAGCGGTGCAGGTTCTTCATGGATGAAGAGGCAGCCATGCTCACCACCCACGGGTGCCTCAGGGCCTGCAGTGCAGTCATACGGGCTCCAGGGTCCACTGTCAGCAGGCGGTCAATGAAGTCCTTGGCCAGGTTGGACACACTAGGCCAGGGCTAGAGACCAAGGACAAGCATAAGAGTGAGAGTATCCGACACTGCCCACCCCATCTGGATGAGGTCACTACCCAGCATCCCTCCACTTTCCTGAGGTGCTGCCCCTCCTCTCATGTAGTGCTTGGGGCCTCCCTGCCCAACGCTGGCCCAGGCTGAACAGGGGCTGCTCTCCAGGTGATGGAGTCTGGCAAGGAAGGAAAGGACCCGTCCACTCTCCCAGGGAGCAAACTTCTATGGTGCACCGGACCCAAAGCCTGGCTCAGGGAGATGGCCTCTGCCAAGACCCCCCAACCTGCCCCAGGAGTATCGTAACTCAGGGGAATGTAAGAGAATGACTCAAACTTTTCCACCACATCCTAAGTCAGACTGAAGCTCCAATCTCTGGATGACCAGGATCAGGCCACTTAGAGGGGAACTTCCCAGTCCTTACAGAGAAGGTCCAACCTCTCTCCAACTGCCAAAGCAGTGGTAGGAGACCACTACTCCCTGCCTCCGCCTCCTAGCGTGGGGAGGAAAGGAAACAACTCAAGGCAACTAGATTTCCCTGTTGGCTGAGGGCAGGTACTCCCGGGACCAGGCAGGAACCAGGACCCTTCTCAGCGGCACCCTCCAGCCCTCATTACTTCTCTAAGCCACAAAGGGCTCCTGGCAGTGCTGTGCGCCAGCCTC